TTTGGCTACCACTAAAACTGATTCGCGGCAACACTGATGTACATACCTTTATGTACAATGTGCACGTCCAACTAAATATATAAATAAAATAATGTAAAAAAATATTTTTTAAAAACAAGCTTTTATTTAACCTGTACAATCAAAGGAATCGCGCGAATAGCAAACCGGCATTTAAATATCTGCATACATACATATACATACATACCTAACCAATTATGCATGTACGCTGAATTCGCCGACAAGCTTTTTTAAAAACGAAGTAAATTAGTACAAATTGTTAGTAATTTTCATTAGAGTTTGAATAACTCCTTTAACGAGACCTTAACTTATTTTATTTTATTCATTTTAGTGCAGTTTTGACAAACTTTTCTTGCTAAAAAATCTTTTGTTACACTACTTCATTTTATTCCTTTGATTGTACAGGTTAAATAAAAGCTTGTTTTTAAAAAATATTTTTTTTTTTTACATTATTTTATTTTATAATTTTTAGTCCATTTATAAAAGCGTTGTATATTAAAAAGTGTTATTTTATTTTATGTACAAAATTTTGCAATAGATATTAAAATAATTCAACTTGCAATGAAAGAGAACGGAAGATTGGCAAGCAAAATGTTGTTTGCTTACGTTTTGTATAAACATACATATGTACATATAGCAGCAGTTAATTTTATTTAAAGAAATGGCGTGTCGTCCATTTTCGCTGTAGCATGGCATATATTTAGGCGCAATATTCAGCTTCTTCTGGTGGGGCGACATCTGGAGTCTTTTAATTGTATCTCCTTGATATGATGCCTACAACGAGGTTAATATCTAGACTAGGAATAGCTTTGCTACACTACCGACGCGGCGCGCCGGCAGTTTTAACAATTTTATAGTGGTTTTACGTTCTTTGGCAAATTACGCTCTGTTAGCCATAAATCTTACTATTTTTTGACCGCCCTTGAATCAAGAGACCTGGACCATATGGAGAATTCATTTACATTTTAAATTGCATTGTTATCGTGATTGGAACTATGCTGAAAATTTCAAGTCTCTAACTTGTCGGGAAGTCAGTTTAAAATCGATTGGAAATTTCCGCGATTTGCGCGGGATGACCAAGTTAAATAAAAGCTCATAAAAAATACATACAGTGGTCAAAATATTTTAGCCGAACCACTTTTTGCCAAGTTTTACCGTATAATTTTTGTTGTTATTTAATTTTGGTTATTTTTTTAACAAAACCCGTGTAAATCCAAGTTACCAACTTTGTGCAATATTAAAAAAAATTCAACAAACTTTCGTAAAAATTTCGGGCTTATTTAAAAATTCTGAAATATCAATCGTAATTTTTAGCCATTTGAAACTTGTACTTTATTCTACTAGAATTCAATGGGCTACAAAACCGCATACTCAGAATCTAATTAAAATCTCGAAATTTTTACCAAAATTCGTAGAATTTTTTTCTTTTAATTGCATAAATTGTGCATTTTAATATTAGGCTATTGGTACCGCTGTGGTGTAGTGGTAAGCAGCTCGGCCAAACATTAACATATGTGTAAGCGCCAATCTATTACACTGTGAGACAAATGGTAGGGGTCAGTGATAATATTCATGCTGCCAATCTTTTTGCAGATTTTTTTGCGGCTAATTTCATCTCGGACGAGGATATACTCGATGCTGAGAATGCTAGTTTACATTCTTACGATTATTGTACCGAAAGTACTACTTTTAATCTTGGGTCTTTAGCTCTTTCAGATGAAGACATTGTTGAAGGCATAAAAAACATCAAATTTTCAACCGCGACTGATATGGACGGTCTCTCCGTAGTTCTGTTAAAAAACTGCCCGTCTCTAATTGAACCCTTAAAACGTATCTTTAATAAATCTCTGGAGTCAGGCATTTCATCGAAGATTGGAAACGTGCTTACATTTCCCCTATTTTTAAGAGTGGAAATAAAGCTGATGTAAGAAACTACCGCCCAATTTCTAAATTATCTACAGTTTCAAAACTTTTTGAAAGCGTGATAAAGGCTAAACTTTGGTTTAATCTTAAGCATTTGATTTGCCCGAATCAGCACGGTTTCGTTTCGGGAAGATCTACAATAAGTAATTTAGCAGTTTTCGCCGATGATTGCTTTTATGCGTTCCAAAATGGTCACCCAGTGGACGTAATTTACACTGATTTTGCTAAAGCCTTCGATAGGATCTCACATTCTGTCCTAATTGCTCAACTCAACCATTTAGGTTTTCATTCCGGCTTCCTTAATTGGATTATGCCGTATCTTAGTGGTCGGAAAAGTTCAGTTCTCCTGGATGGAATATATTCTAAAACTATAATTTCCACTTCGGGTGTACCACAAGGCAGCATACTGGGCCCATTATTCTTCATTTTATTTATAATTTATAAATGATATAGGATCATGCTTTTCAGCTGTTAACTATCTGCTTTATGCCGACGATCTTAAAATTTATTACGAAATTAAAGAGATGAATGACTCACTTGTCCTTCAGGCTGATTTGGACAGGCTGTATTTATGGTGTGTAAAAAAGAGGCTTTTTCTTAATATAAAGAAATGTCATCAAGTAACCTTCTCCAAGTTGCTGCAGCCCTTCCAAACTTCTTACCATATTTGCAATACCCGTTTAGATTCGCTTAATGAAGTGAAAGATCTCGGTGTCTTTTTCGACTCCAAGTTTACTTTTGTCACGCACATAAATTATACTATTTCTAAATCGTTTTCAATGCTTGCCTTTATTCGTCGCAATAGTAAGTGTTTCTCCAATCCATATACTCTTAAAACCTTGTACACTGCTTTTGTTCGGTCTAAATTAGAGTACGCCGCCTTCATTTGGAGACCGTATCATCAAGTACATATCATTCGGCTGGAATCGGTTCAGTGTTTTATTTGACGAGAAATTTAAACCATTAGCGTATTTTGTATGGAAGACTTAGCCAACATAACTATAATGGCTAAGTCTTCCATACAAAATAAGCTAATACCTTAAATTTCTCGTCAAATAAAACACGCCTTTTGTTAATTTTAAGCAGGCCTGCAGGACGCTGAGTTCGCAGTACCCTTGGGGCAGCGTTCGCGTGTTCGTAAACACGAAATAAGGTCTATCCTTAGGTTGAATAAGGTCTATATAATAAGGCTATCTATCAATCATAGCTAATAATGCTATTAATTATAATGAATCAATTAATATTATTGTAACAAAAGTTTTAATAATAAATCATAACAATACATTTGCTATAAAATGTGTGATTGACACATATTCACGGTACTGTTTGATATGGAAAATAAATAAATTTGAATCTTCTCCTTAAAATTGCTTCTTTTCAAAAATTCATTTCTACCAAGGCACATTAAACAGGTAGTATCAGTAGAGCAAAAACAACATTTGCGTGTATTTTGTTGTTGCTTCTGGTATCGAAAGTGTCAAAAACTGTTCTGAATTTTTTCTTCTAAATCAAAGCGTGCCATGTGAAATATAAGAAATTATAAAAAATATAAAATTGAAATTGGAAAAAATAAAAATTGATGCAACTTTCTTTCCTAGTAAATTTGTTTGCTTCTCGAAGCATTGATCCATCCTTTACAAGGGCCAGTAATCAGCGGTTGTGCTGCTGAGTTGGGCGAACGTTCCAAAAGCTGCTATTCAATCGCTTGTTTTGTATGGAAAAAGGTTTCACATGCAAATGGATTTTAACAATTCAGAATTTTTGTGAGAAAAAATTAAAAATATTTGACATTTTCGAGACCAAATAATTTGAAAATAAATCAAATCAGCTGCTCTACTGATACTACCTGTTCAGTGTACCTTGATTTCTACCGTCTCTATGTTTTCTTTTACTTACTTACTTAGTCTTACTTAATCCTTCTGTAACGTTTGGGTCAAAATGACCCAATTTTCATGAAAAAAACTTTAATAACAGAGTTAGGCAATTTTAAAAAAGCTGCGGCCTTGTCTATTCGTTAAAAGCGTAATCAGCTATGGTTTTGCAAAAATAAAATGGTTTATTATTCTATTTTGTTTTCTAGAAGGCAACATAGTTTTTCCATTCACCCACAGTATTTCTGGGTCATTGTGACCCAAATTATTACTTAGTATTTAAGGGCAACTTTGACCCGGTAAGAATACAGCACTTGCCGATAAAGTGTCTATAAATAAAATATTAACTGAATAAAATCTTTTGTTTTCTTAAAATTGACTAATTTCTATTATTGGGTCAAAATGACCCAAAACATTACAGGAAGGGGTGAATTCTAAATGCTGCAGAAGGATTAACATTTATGGTAGATATATGAAAAATAAGAGAATCGAGTTCTCAGAATCGATTCTCGATCGGTTCCGAAAATTTAGAATCGGTTCTCTAAAATCGATTATTTCGAGAAAATCTTCGATTCTAGAGTGGAATCGGAATCAATTTTTCCATCCCTAAATGGAACGTTTGTAACGCTGGAAACGTTATTAAATAACTTTAATTTATTAAACAAGAATTTTAATTCTCATTTCTCAACAAACAATGCTTGAGTTTCGGAATATTTCGTAAATTTTACAGTATATACACAGTTACATAAATAAGTAACGGAAAATGGAAACGGTTTTCAGCACAAAATTTATCAGCCAAAAATTTGTAAACAAACGATTCCAGCTGGGCTTTTTCAAAAAGAAAACAAAACAAACTCTTTAGGCGTTGCACTGATAATAGATCTTCAGACAGAACTGGCATTCGAAGGCAAACAAAATAATCACAGTGGACATGTCAGTGCATGTCTAGAATCAAGTTAAATTTATACAGAGTAATTATTTGGTGCTAATTTTCCTGAAAGCTCAATCAGAAGGCTTTGTAGCTGGCCGTAGCATACCCAAAAAGGATTAAATAATTGAGCACGGACGCTCTATTTTTTCAAATGATACAAGAAGAGCTCCTAGAAGATATTTAGATTGTTTATTTTGCTAACTGGGTACATATGGACATGCATATGTACATACATAAATATTTTAATTTCTTTTTAGTATTACTCCTACTCCTCTGGGCGAAGGTAAGAGTACAACACTGATTGGATTAGTTCAGGCACTTTGTGCACATAAAAGTCGAAATGCCATTGCCTGCATGCGACAACCATCACAAGGGCCCACATTTGGTATTAAAGGTGGTGCTGCCGGTGGAGGATACGCCCAAGTGATACCCATGGATGAATTCAATTTGCATTTAACTGGTGATATCCATGCTGTTTCGGCAGCCAACAACCTACTTGCCGCTCAATTGGACACCCGTATATTCCATGAAAATACGCAGAAGGATACATCTCTTTACGATCGTCTTGTACCGCGTATTAAAGGTCAGCGAACATTTTCGAAAATACAATTGCGACGTCTGCAACGGTTGGGAATACTCAAAACCGATCCTGATTCGTTGACGCCTGAAGAACAAAGCCGTTTTGCACGTCTGGATATCGACCCCGATACAATAATGTGGGAGCGAGTCATTGATATTAACGACCGGTATTTGCGCGAAGTTACGATTGGCCAATCGCCCACGGAAAAACATTTGACTCGTAAGACATCATTCGCTATCTCAGTGGCTAGTGAAATAATGGCCGTACTAGCACTAGCAACTGATATGGAGGACATGAAGCGACGGTTATCAAACATGGTAGTAGCTTTCGACCGCAGCAGCAAACCTGTAACTGCTGATGACCTAGGTGTTACTGGTGCCCTTGCTGTGCTTTTAAGAGACGCTTTGGAACCTACTTTAATGCAAACATTAGAAGGCACACCAGTTCTGGTGCACACTGGTCCATTCGCAAATATTGCTCATGGATGTTCCTCAATTGTTGCTGACAAAGTTGGTCTAAAATTAGTGGGTGAAAAGGGGTTTGTTTGTACGGAGGCAGGTTTCGGATCAGACATTGGCATGGAAAAATTTTGCAATGTTAAATGTCGTTCGTCAGGTCTCAAACCAAATGCCATGGTGCTAGTGGCTACAGTTCGGGCGCTCAAAATGCATGGAGGCGGGCCCGCAGTTACGTCAGGAGCGCCTCTCAATAAACAATATACCGAGGAGAACTTACAATTACTGGAGAAAGGGTTGCCAAATCTGCTGCAACATATTTCCAATGGTCAGAAATTCGGACTCCCAGTTATTGTTACTATTAATCGCCATACGTAAGTCCTGAAAATACTTCGCAGAGAATATACTTATGGTCCCGTTTCTGCCTTAACCTCGTATCTGCAATAGAGGTATTTTAGAGAGTGTAAGAAAATATGCTTAGTTTCTTCCCACGCATTTTTTACTTAATATTTCTGGTTCCACTAACAGTAGTGAGCACCCTCATTAATTCTTTGTTCTATTTTCAAATAGTGTGACATTTAAATAGCTGCCATAAGTGGTAATATTAGTTTTCCCAAAAATTGTAGATACGTGATTAAGGCAGAAACGGGACGATATGCATCACCATCAATGCAAAAGGCCCTATATGACACTGTTTCAGAAATATGTTTTTTACGTCACTAAGGAAATACCCCATAGTTTGCTCTCGGATACACCCCGATACAAAAATACTTAAAAATACTCAATTAAATTTGAAAAGTTTTTTTCTGCTGTAAAATTTTAAATTTGTCAGATAGCGCCTTTTTCCATTTCCTGCAAACCATACTTTCAGAGCAATCTGAATAGTAGAGAAATCGTAAAGCATTTGTAAAGAAATCTTTATTCCCCATTTACGATCTTTGCTGAATTTTCTAAGTTGAAATATAATCTGCACAATTCTATTCCTTTAAGAAATTTCGTCAGACAACCGGTAAAGCAATGATAATCATTTTGCGCTGTGAAGAAATCGTTCAGAATTTTAATTTTAGTGCAGAAATTTCCAGGGACCGTAAATAGCAGTTACTTTTTTCCAACAGTCAAACTTGGCCAGATATTTTTTAAGTTCGAAATGAAAGTCTTTCCGGATATATCCTAAGTAAACAAACTTGGTACCAAATGAAAGAGGGCTTAAATAGCTTTTAAACAGAAATAACGATCGAAGGCTACCACTTCTATTTATATTTTATATAAATTTTTTTATAATTTTATACAAAAGAAATGCATATACCTGACCCAAGGTTTGTTCTATAGTAATTAAAAAAACATTTTTTATTTACATATTTTTCAATAGCTGGCTTTCTGCTGGCTTTCCTCGTTTTAATATTTCAGTTTTAAAGCTATTTTAGTCTGTGTAACTCAGTGAGAGGGCAGGACCAGGATGAATGTATTTGCATAAAAATTTATTAAAGCAAAAATGTTTTGGATAGACGTCGGGCCAATGATAAGCATCAGTTACCACCTCTGCATGGTTGTAAGTCATGTATAGTCCCTATGGCTTGTAGCGCTGTGGCTTTGCCACTTAAAGTTTGTAAGAGTTTTTGGGGATGTGCGTCAAGCGGGAGTGTTGAGCACCGATTATGTATTCAAATGAGAAAATTGGGTAGGCGCTGTGGCCAATGGCAGCTCTTGTACCACCTCTGTATGCCGAAAGCCAAACAGAGCCCCGTGATACAACTCCGGAAGAGTTGTGATGCCTCAAGCGGGAGTGTTGAGCATTGTGGCTTGATGCGTCAAGCGAGTTGAGCATCGGTTATGTATTTAAGTCAGAAAATTGGGTAGGCGCTGTGGCCAATGGTAGCTCTTGTACCACGTATGTAGGCCGAAAGCCATACAGAGCCCCGTGAGGCAACTTCGGAGGAGTTGTGATGCATCAAGCGGGATTGTTGAGCATTGTGGGTTGATGCGTCAAGCGGAAGTGTTGAGCATGATTTGGGGTGCCAGCAATTAACTACTTTAGTAGGTCTTGTTCTGACCGCCACTGCATCTACATCTATTGTTTTTCCAATCCGCCCTTCTGGCACTTTGATTCTAATTATTGTTAAAATTACCAATGAGAAAATAAACCGCGTAATTATTGAAGTTTAAAGCAAAAATCTACCTCTTGTTATTATATACATATGTATGCATGTATATACATATTTGCATACACTTGCATATTACTGTTCTCCGCACTCAACCCTACGACCTCCCTTGAACATAGACCTAAGTTGATACCAAAATTGTTTAATTTGGATAAGCGGAAAGGACTTTTATTTTCGACTTAAAAATATCTGGCCAAGTTTAGCTGTTGAAAAAAGTAACTGTTATTTATGGTCCCTGGGAATTTCTTAACGAGTTCGTGTCAACTCCCTCTTACGATTTTCTTTAAAAATTCGTAAAGAAATTCTTACAGGATTCTGAACACATTTCTTATACTCCTAATGATTTCGATAAGACTTTCGGATTTTTGGTTTCCATGGTAGATGGTGACGATATGTATTGGTCTGTTCGACTAGATCCCTAGCGATAACTATCCAGCGGCAACTTGAAAGAGAGTAACGGACGATTCCTAAAAAAAAAGGTTTTCAAAAAACTACGTGGATGCAAAATTTGCGAAAGCTTGCAGGTTTAAGGATCAGCTGATCGAAATTTTGTTCAGATCTAACAGCATAAAACAGAAAATATAGCATTATTAAAAATTAATAGTTTGCCTGGCATATAAAACAAGTAGTAGCATTAGAGCAAAAACAAATACATACGTGTATTTTATGTTGCTTCTGGTCTCTAAATCAATGGTGGGCATACTTACATTCAATAAGTGAGACTGTGTGCGTTAAATGCACTGCTTCCCTGCAAAAAGTAGGACTAGGTTAAATATTAGAACAAGACCGCGCTACCTTGTTACCAACACTAGTAACCAAATGGTCCAAACATATGGAGAAAATGCGGTTACATTAACATTGCGATGGAGTCGTTCCATATGAAATCGTCTAATTGAAGTCGCGAACCCATTTTAGATTTTGCTGTAACTTGAGGGACTATTCTTTATGGTCCAAAGAACAGAATTTACGCAAAATTAAATTCTTAGAAACCTTCGTTTCCGCCTGTCCGAATCAAAAGTTTTAAAAATCGCGATTTTATGCTTTAACAAATTTAGCTCTAAAGTGTTTCCTTTTTAAGATATCTACCCACTTGAGGCGGCATTTTAAAGGGAAAAGATGATAGTTTTAATGCAAGGAAAGAAAGTCGTTTAAGTCAATACCTCCGAATAATTGCAGCGTCTTAGAATTACGTGTTTTTTACTTCTTTTTTGTGAATTTTAATCGACTGTAGCGTTTTGACTGTTTTGAGTAGGCAGCTTATGTTACTCAGGAATTAAGTGCGCGTATCATAGACGAAACACAGCTACGAGTCGACCTGTACAGATCGCTGCTTATAAAAGAAACATTTGCTTAAAGTTGCGAAATACATATTTAAAATTCGCAATATTCAGGTTACGAAATAAACGTGTTGCCTGCTAGATGAAAATACGAAACCTACGACCGCTCGTTTTTGTTATTTTTATGTTTGTTTAGTACATGTGCAAGTGGTGAAAGCAACATCGCAAAAAAATATAGAAAAAAGGTTTTTTCTTAACAGTGGCCGTTCATCGGCAGGCATTGGCAAACCTCCGAGTGTATGTCTGCCATGAAAAACAGCTTCTCGTAAAAAATATAATCGCCGTTCGGAGTCGACGTAAAATTGTAGGCCCCACCGCTCGTGTGTCACCACCAAGGCGCACACCACAAATCGGAGGAGAAGCTCGGCCAAACACTAACATATGTGTAAGCGCCAATCTATTATTATTATTATTACATGTGCAAGTGGTGTTTGTATAGCCACTACATTTTTGCTATATAAAATCCACTTGCACATGCACTTAATATGAAAATAACAAAACTAGCGAAATTTTGAAATATTTTGGAAACCTTTTCATTTTTACAATGTGAGACCATAATATTTGGATTCAGCGGAAAATTCTACATAGGATTCATGTATCGAACGCCGTGCGATTTCTTAGTAGCTACTTAAGTAATAGAATGCAAAAAGTAAAAGTTGATAACATTTTCTCTGATCTTCTGCACATTCACTCTGGCGTTCCACAAGGTTCCATACCTAACCGTCTTCTCCTTAGGATGTTTATAAATGATATTTTCAATGCATGCTCACATGCCCGTTTACATGCTTACGCTGACGACGTTCAGCTTTATCTCTCTGGTCGCACTGGCATGGTTCATGAAATCGCGCTTCAACTAAATTACGATTTGCATTCTATTCTTAAGTGGTCAAATGAAACCCTGCTTCTCCTTAATGCTAGGAAATCTCATGTGCTTCCAGTATGCAAGGATAAGATCCAGCCCTCTGAGGATCCTCACCTATATCTTAGTGCTGATATTCTTCAATTAGTTGATAAAGTAAAAAATCTTGGTTTCATAGTAAATTCTAGACTGACTTGTGAGGATCACATAAACGATGTAGTTAAAAAAATTTACTATACACTGCGGTGTGTCTCCGAGCTAACTCTGCTTTTACACCCCAAGTCACTAAGAAAAAAAATGGTAATTAGTCTAATTGTTCCCCTCATTACTTATTCTGATGTAGTGTATAGCGAACTTGACTCTCGATCATTTCAAAAACTTAATGTTGCTTTTAATTTTGCCACCAGATGTGTACATGGGTTAAAGAAATTTGATCATTTAAATACCCTCAGAAACTCGATAGTGGGATGCGACCTAAGAAACTTTTTAAAAGCTCGAAATTGCATTTTTGTGTTCAAACTGATTATGCTTAATAAACCGGAAAACCTGTATTAAAAACTGAGGTTCCCTAGAAGTGTACGCTCTTCCAGTTTTATTTTACCGAAATATAATTATCTTAACACGTCGAGATTATTTTTTGTTAATGCTGTAAAACTTTGGAACTCTCTGCCAGCATCTTTGCAGAACTCTTTACGTAAGCACAACTTCGAGGGTCTTATCAACGATTATTTTTCTAATAAAATAACTTAAAATGGTTATTAATTTTCTATGTTGGTTATTGTAATAACTCTTTATAATTATAAGTGCTATAAAATTGGTTAATTCCTTGTTATATCTTCTTGTTTTCCTATATTTAATGTTCTTATCCTTTTTATTTCTTATTGTGCAATAAAAGATTTAATCTTAATGTACTAATATATATACGATATCAAATAAATTGAATTGAATTGAAGAATATGAATTTATGATAGTTATTTATTATAATAAAATAGAAAAATTAGGCCAATTTTGGCTAACGT